AAACAGCAAGTAAGCGATGGCAGGAAGCAGAGCTCAGGCCTCATCCCATTAGCTCAGGGCACATGGGATCCAGCTGTGCGGTCCTCTAAAGTCTTGTACCTCTTCAACATCAAGAAAAGAAGCTGAAGGGTGGGTGGGTGGAGATTGATTAATAAAAGGCAAGCATTTCTCCTCAAAATGCATCCCTTTGATTGGTATCCTCAAGACAAGCTTAGAATCAACAAATTCCTTCTTCTCTACAGTGGTAGTGCTCTGCGTCTCTGATCAACTCTGTATTAACTCCCAATGCCACCCAGCAAAGCTAACCTGCACCAGCATCCATATCTCTAGCAGGAGGCATGCCTGTAATTGCCACAAAGAAGACAGGATCCCAGCAGCTCAAGAGCCTCTAAACACAACATATGAAGCCGGAGCTAAAATAGCAAGGGAGTCTCTCCAACACAAATGGAAATGGTTTCTCTTTCCACGTGAAAGACTAAATTTGACAATATTGTTTTTTTAAAAGATGTGTTCCTTTTAATTTTAGCAAAACCTTCAATATGTTCCTCCATCTTTGTAAACTTGGCAAGACTTTTCCTCTAAGCAAAACAGAGTAACCAACAAATATGGAAATCTAATTCTATTGATTTTTTTTTTAAATTTCCACCCCCAATTCCTTCATTTAGGCTACTATCCATGCTACCACTATACGAACCAGTCCGTTAAAATATGTTCCAACTAAAGCTTGATGGCTTTGAATGCTCGAAAATCCTTCTCAGGGGCTAATGAAGACAGAAACTCTGCCTGTGACAATATTAAGTTTGTTTCCTCTGGTGATTCAGAGAAGTGAGCAATCTGTCAGCAATGCATTGAGGGAGATTACTTGTCTTGGAGGAATAACTGCTGACAGTCACTTTATCTCAGGGCTGACCCAAACATCTCCCCACTGACAAACAAATTACTGTCTAACTTTGAAAAGGTAGCTAGCTGGTTTTAATTTTGGTTTCTCTTTCAGAATCATTTATATAATACTCACTTCCACCATTTATTGTATTTTAAAAGGAGGAGCAGGAGTGTTAAGCAGTGTATGTAGGGGGCAGGTTTGAATTTATAAGCAAGAAAAAAAGAAATGGTAGAAAAAAAAAAGGAACCACGAGGCTCCCTTCAAGACTGCACATGGACTAAGCTGTGGGGCCGGCTCGACACTGAGACTGGCAGCACTGCCAGCAGCTGACTGGGTGAGTGAACACATCACCACACAGTTCTGTAGGAATTAATTTTCTTCAATAAAATGATTTTTAAGGATCATATATTTCACAATCTAAACATATGTCACTGTTTCATAAACAAAATAAATGGATTAAAATAATACATTACCAATATGCTGACATGTAGAGATATTTTAATTAGAAATTCTTAAGCTGTGTGGTATTTAACTGCTGGATTTGCTGAAGTGAAGCATGCATCATTTAATAAGAAGGCATGAGGCAGGTGTATCACTTTGCATATGGTACCAGACTGTGTTTAATATAAGCTACAACTACAAGGCAGCGTTGCTCCCAATTAAAAACAAAACAAAGCAAAATTACCCTGCGATCTATCATTGACAGTAATCAGGTAAAATGAATCATATACTGAAAATACTTTTAAATAGAAAAGAAATTCAGAACTCAGGTTTTGAGACAGTATATCTTCAGACAGAATCTAACATTATATCTATTTAAAGGCCATATTTACATGACTGCCTCATTATTCTGGTCCCCTTTCCTGAACGTTCTTTTTGACTTACTTAAGGACCAGTGCTAACATAGCTACAGAAAGCAAATGGCAAATGGTCCAGAAATGTATACAGTGAGCGCCCCAGAGTAAGTAGCAATATAATATATTGTTTACTGTGGAAAGTGCCCTCTGTTCTGGAAAGGTCAAAAGCATTGTAACCTTAGAGTTTCAGTTTGTGATTGTTCCCAGGGTTAAATACATTATCAAAATTAATGGTTCAAGCCCCTCAGCCTTCAGATATATGAGTATTCGTCCCTATATCTGCTGAACTGTTTAACTAAAAATAGCACCTTTGGCCTCCTCTCTGCTGATATCATGTCCCTGAGGCAGAGACGACCAGAGACGACCAGGCCTTAGATCAGAACAGCTTTCCCGTCTTCCTTAATTTAAAGACAAAACTGGAATATGCTAATGTCAGAAGGGTCATTCCATTTTTAATACCTTTTCTCTCCTTGATGCAAATTTTCAGACTTTAGGGTATGACTAGCGTTGCTAAGGTTGCAGATGTGTGACCATAGAAATGCCAATTTATGAAGGGAAATCAACAGGTAGAAAAGGCAAAGCCCTGAATACCATGTTGGTTAACCGTCAGTACACTGTAAAGTGCTCCTCCCAGAATGCTCTCCTTGTAAAGAAATCCTGGCATTGTCACAGTTTATCATGACCCCAATTATTGACAGAAACATGACATATTACTTTGCCAAAGGGATGAAGAAAGCCCCAGCTTACAAAGGTGATTTAATTGCAGTAAAGCAAGTTTTCACAAAGTTTTCACTCTAAATATCCTAATATTGTTCTAAATGTTACTGTCCAGCAGTTTAGATACAGGTGTTGTTTAAAGATGCCCCAGTAAATATGCCATACTCAGACCACAAAATCTGGAAAACCTGTCCTTCATACAAGTGTAACCAACATCAAAGGTTTGTTGGCATGCAGAAAAATACTTTTTTAAAAAAGATTTATTTATTTTATGAATGTGAGCACACAGTTGCTATGATCAGACACACCAGAAGAGGGCATCAGGATCCCATTACAGATGGTTGTGAGCCACCATGTGGTTGCTGGGAATTGAACTCAGGACCTCTGGAAGAGCAATCAGTGCTCTTAACCACTGAGCCATCTCTCCAGCCCAGAAAAATACTTTTTATAATGGAAACCACATGTCCTCCTGTGGATGCGGAGCTATCTGACGATGTACACTCTTCTACTTGTAGACAATTGTAAGTGTGGATAAGTGTAACATTTAGGAAGGAAACTAAGGGAGGGTAACATTCGCTAACAAGGAAAGACAGGCTGCAGGCCAAAAGGACAATGAGTTGTGGAAGAAGATATAAAGCTAGTTGTTTTCTAGTTTTGACTTTTTTTCTTCTTTTTGGAGTGGATACATGCATAAAAATGTGGTCGACAGTAAGTGTAAAACCCTAATCAAAGCTCCAGTGGCCAATATAACTGTACAGAAGTTCACTGAGATTTGGGGAGTTTGGAAATGGATTCCTTAAACCAGCTATGTGGCGTTTTTATTTGTGAGTTCATCACAATGAAGATATTTCTTTATAATGAAAATTTTAATTAAATAAATAAAAATTTAAAATGTAGGCAAGAGAACATAGTACAAATAAAAACCCAGGATTCTCTCAGACCAGATACACTTAAACTACAAAGCTGTAAAAGTTCCTGCATAGGATGGGGTGGGCCCAATCAGAGCGACAGACATGTGGTATCTGCCCAACTTCTATGCCAGCAGCTCTGTGACTCTGGGAAACTACAACACTGTGATTTCCAGGAGCCAGATCTGATACAGCAAGCTTGCGTGCTTGTGAGGGAAGAGGTCAGGGAGAAGCATGAGGTAAAATAATGGACTTGGTGGAATCCAGCTGAAGGGAAGAGGAAGGGACAGAACACAATATCCCTACAAAGAACCAAAGGCAAGAGCTTATGTGGAAGTCACCCACTTTCCCAGTATCCTAGGCACTTCACAGCTCCTTGGGCTGGGTGTTCCGAGTGAGTCAGTTTGCTACCTACCATCATACAGAAAGGATGCCCCCTATCTTTATATACATTTCTGAAATGAGCTGATTTTCACACTGCTCAGGAAAGGTCGATTCTACAGCCCAACAGAAAGGCCTTTGAAAGAAAGGTTTCATGGCTATGCAGAAGGCACCATAGTGTGCCAATCTGTGTCTAGTCATGTCAGAGTCTCTTGCCCCATCAAAGAGCAGGGAGGTAACAGAGGACACTGTGGCTCTTCCTTTGGCTGTTTCAAGGTGGCCTTTTATCTTGTTCTCCTCCTTAGGTGTGATCGCCTCAGCATCTACTATCATTTCCAAGTAGGTGGACTCAAAAGCAGCAGAAATCTTGTCCAAAAGTCATGGACAACTGATCTGTCTACACTTATAGGACCAAAGGGCTGAATATAGATACAATTAGAGGTTTTTTTAGAGGAGTGCAATGGGTAGAGTTTCCCATTTGGGTTAGAATATAAAGTTTGGTACTTGGTCTCACCTAGAAAATTAATCTTTAAAAAAAAAACTCAATAGCTACATTACACTCCCCAACCCAAATCTGAAAGAACCAGAGCGGGACACTAATGATTGATATAAGAGAGGGATGCCATCAGATCAGTCACCACAGAGAGGAGGGCCATGGTCCCATTGCAGAGAAGGTCTTCATGCTCTAAAAGGACCAATACATGCAGAAGGAGCATGATTTCCCACAACACTGAAAAAGGTTTTCTGGGTGGTTAAATACTTAAAGGACACCTGAGAAACTTGTTGGCTCAGCCAGGCCCAGACACCCAACTTTCAGCCTACGAAAACTAAGTTAGGAACACTAGCCTAGGCAGAGTCAGCAGCTGTGGGTGAGTAGTCACTCCAAGGCCCAGAGTATTTAACAACTGTGGTGGGCTCTCAGGACCTCTTTGTCCCTTAGCTGTAGAACTCGATAATGAGAATTATAGTTGATCAAGGTTCCAGGGAAGTATATAGTCAAATGGATATGATCTTTAAAGTTTAAGTATTTGTTAAACATAAAACATTATACGTGAGAATGGGTAAGAGTGTGGAAAGCCAGCTTTGAAGCTCCTTGCAAGAAAAAGGCAGAATAGAACCTAGCTTAATGCCTTAGGGTTAGGAGAAGGAGATTGGCTTTAGCACTCAGGCTGTTTGCCACTTTTCAAAAGGCCTAGAATATGCTGGAGCCATTCAGTCCCCCACCCAAAGAAGCACCAACGGAAGCAGTCATACCTCAATCTGTTTGTGGTTGTAAGAGTGGCCACCACCATGTTCATAGGGGTCCAAATTCCTGCCAAAACGGTCACTTATGCCCTTTAGCCTTGGGTTAATTTGTGGGTGGGAGACATGACCCTTCTGTTTAATGGCATATTCAGAAAAAAAAAAGACAAAACATACTGTCAGAACTCATGAAACAATATGAAAGTCAATGCAGGGTATAGACCACATCAAATGATGGCACATAGTCCTAGACTCAGATTCTCCATTTTACAGAAACTGGTCCGAGGACTCCTGCCTTTAAAACCAGAAAGCACCAGAGTAAGCTCCACAGCAGTATGAAGAGCGCCAAAGTAGGGTCACCAATGGGAGAGTTTCTTTTAACTCTTCCACTGCTGCTTGGAGCCCAGGGTTGGGAGTGTGAAAGGCAAATGTCTCTGAAGGAGAAGTAGCTGGCCATCTGCTAACAAGATGTCTCTATCCCTGGTGCTTCTAGTGGGGACAGCTTCATGCTGACCAGAAGAGGCTATGACAAAAACTTCTTGAGTGTAGCAAAAAATTCTTTTCTTCTTGACCCAGTGATAAATTTTTAAAGTATTGGAGGGAGGGGAGTGTATATGTCAGCATTGTTTTCTTTTGGTGCGATTGTGGCACACCCTTTATGTTCAAATCTCACAGGCAATAGCAACATAAAAATACTGTCTTTCCCTATGTTCAAAAGGAAAGCTCAGATAAAAAATGTCTTTAAGGAATTCTGAACTCTAAGGCAACTTATCACGTATTTCTAAGTGTTCTAATGCTAAAATTTTGACTCATTTTGTTTTTACCACGGAAATCTATTCATATTCAAAGTCCATACATGTGTCTAACAAGGATATTAGAGGTGTGCAAAGGCCACGCAGAACTATTCTAAATACCTCATTTTACTGTGAGGAACATACGGTGAAAATAATTCTTCAGTCAGCCTCCAAACATGATTAGCTTGATGAACAAGAGACACTGATCCAGAACTAAGTTGGGCACCATGCCTAGACCTTTAACCCTGGCAAGAAAAAGGTCACAGTATAGACTCAGGAGCAGTGTGTTTATATTTTGCTAAATAATCAAAGTAACTGGGAATAATGGCTCCTTATTCTTTGAGCTGCAAGGAGGAAAAGGCCCAGCATTGTCTCTGGTCTAAAACTGATGGGGAAAAAAAGGCCTGTCTGTATATCTGTATCTAATGGAAACCCATTAGAAATGTGGATAAGGAAAAAGCTAACACATTCAAACAACAACTAGCTTTAAACATTGTGAAACTGTTAACTTGTTAAAAGAGAGCACACAGAACCACAGAACCAAATTGTGACTTTGTATTTCCTTTAAAAACGGCTGGAACTAGCGCTCTTCTCTTCCATTTTCAGCATGCTAAGTACAGAAGGTGTTAATTCTCTAGGCTATGGTTAAAAAATTATTTAACATTTAGGCCATTATTTAGAATACAGCTGGATTGCAGGTTTCCACTAAAGCACTGGCCCTTCTCCCACATTCTTTTTTTCCCCCTGGCACTTACCTGAAGCTGTAAAGGGCTGAGTCCAGAAGCAGCAGCAGCTGCCATTGTTGACGGAATGAACTGTACGGGGTAGTTATCACCTGTCGGAAAGAACAATGCGCACAGGTTTAGACAATGCACAGGGAATCGCAGCAGACAAGTATAAACATGGTCCTTGGATCGCCTGAGCTTTACAACATTGCCCTAAGCCCAAACATCTGCAGAAACAAAAGGCTTAGTTGGGCACAGGCTTGCACTGCCGCCTTGGAACTTTTTGTTAACAGATAGCTGGTAGGCAAACTGGCAAAACATGAATGTGATGTTGAAAAAAATTAAATGTGCAATTCAAGCATGTTCCCTCCACTACAAACCTTGTAATACATCATTTTTTTAAGAGTAAAAAAAAAAAAATTAAAGCCAGGCTGATGCTTGGCACACTGTGGAAAGAGGCTTTCGCTTAGAGAAACAGACAGTTTGGACTTGGTAAGTAAAATGGAGAATTAGAGTAAAAAAAAAAAAAAAACAAACAAGGAAACAAAGATATTTACTAATGACAAGCCATAATGCTAAATTTTATTTTATAGAAAATTTAAAAAAATAGATAAGGAGACAATTCCCTTTAACATGGTCAATCTTACTTGTTGGTACTCTGAAATGCTGGTATCTTACTGACAGAAAATCTGTGTCTTTTGGTTTAACCTCTGGTACTAAGTAGTGGAGCCTGGTTCACAGTCACACACACAAGGCACTGACTGAAGCATTTCTGGTGATGATAATTAAGTAACTTCACATTCTGCATGGGCTGTCTGCACTCAAGAGCTGGGAGTACTCTTTATGCTATACAGTAAGGTGCTTCAAGCACAAACCAACATCCACCTGTGTTAAAACACCACCTGTGACCTGAGAACACAGGTCATGGCCAGACACCCATAGAGCCAAGAAGAAGGGATGAAGGACATATTGGAATGGTGGTAAGTGAACTAAAAATGAATATTTGTGGGTGAATCACACAATATCAGTGATTTAATGTAGTAGCATGCTGGCTGCAGCTACTTATTTAAAGTCAGTGTTATGTGCTATCTCTAGGCTATATTTTAATGGGCTGCTCCCCCACACATTTTTGACATTCATAATAATCATGCTGTTTTGCATGAACTTTTCTACACTGAACGCTGAATGTAATAATGAAGAGACATTGCAGGAAGAGTTCCAGGCGCTGGGGTTGTCAAATAGAAAACAGGAGAACCTTTTGTTTCCTGTCTGCATAGATGCTAATACCCACAGCGTGCCTAGTACCCCTAGCTTTTTACAGCTCATCCCTGCTTGCCGTGTAAAGTGCTACTCAGCTGGCCCAATGTAAATGTTAAGTTGCTTTCACTTTTAACAAATTGTTAGCTTCTGATCTGCACGGTCTCTTTGCATCGTATCCATAATACCTCATCAGACCATTGAGCACAGTGTGCGCCTGTACACAGTCCAGTAACAATTGGCTTCTGATTGCAGACGGAGTGCTGCTACAATGCACTTGCTAAGGCCATATTGTGCCGGTCTCCTATGGAGCAATGTTCAAAATATCTGATCTTGTTTTTCCCCTTCCATGAGGCTGATTTTCGTCTGCCCTACTCTAGGAGCCTTTCTAAAAAGATAACTAGGCAAAATTATTTTTATAGTAAATGACTATCACTTTCTGCTTAAATAAGTCTACTGATCTTCTTGATATTTAAACTAAATTATCTGAAGAAAAAATATCTTGATCTAAGTCAAATGGTAATTTTTGGGTGGATATCTTATCAGCTTTTTAAAAAACCCACAAATGATACTGAATTAATGATGTTTCAAAAATAGAGGGAAAAAATAACCATTCCACCCATCAGCACGGACCTCCTCCCCAAACATTTTAAAGCTGTTCTTTCTTTAAATGTCATGCATTATTCATGAAACTCCATACCACAACCCCCTCCCTAGAAGTTTAATACCAGTGGCTTTATTTGTACTAAAACATTTTTCATGTCAAACATATTTTAAAAAATCAAACTCTGAAAGAATTCCCCAGGGCACTCCTTCTCCATAGCTGTCATGCCACTGTGCCGTGAAATAGTCGGCTTTTTACATGGTTTCTGGCTTGCCAGCTAATTTATGACTGTCTCTACCACACCCTGTAGTACTCTCCAGCTCACCTGCTGGCTACAAACAGCTTTCTTTCCACTGTTGACAAGCATATTTTCAAAATATTTTTAACCTTTCTGCGGGTTTGAATCTGCATATCTGAATAGATCTTCAGAAAGCTATTTCTCCAGAACCCATCATTGTATCAGTACTAAAAGTCAAAATGAATACATTAAAGCAATGGAGTATATCACTGAGGATGGTTAGAAGAGGGAGGGGAGCAAAAAGGCAGGAGAGGGGGATGAGGGTTAGCCTTAGAAGAAAAAATAATGTACCAGGGTGCAGTATTTTAGGGCACTGTGAGTCTAGTTTGTGATAACAAAGTTACACATTTCCTTCTATCCACTCTAGTTTTCTTTAGTAACAGTTGATCAAGAAAAGTTTGCAGTGGCTGACTTGGCAGGGAATCAGCCAACATGTTGCAGCAATTTTTTTCAAATTTGTTTCTGGATGTGAAATGTTTGCATGAGGACCATTCTTTTTAAATTTGTACAAAGGAAGAGGCAGCTTGTTGAAACAGGTTCACTTTAGGCATGACTGTAATCTGGCCCTTTTTACCTCAAGTCTAAGCAGTCAGTTCCCAAACACCAATCAGAGAAGCAAGGACCATCCTATAAGCCCATCTTCTGATGGTCTAGCTATCATTGCAGAGCAAACACAAAACAGAACTGAGACCCATGTAAATGTGGCTGACACTGGCTTCATTCATCAGAACAGGCAACATTCCTCTGGCATCCCCTCTCCACCAAGAATCCCAAATGAAAGAGAGATGGGGGAAGAGAATAAATTCTTAAATTTCCAGAGACATTCAGATGTGGCCAAATCTTCATTCTCTTAATTAATCACTAGAGGAGAACTTATTCCAGGAACCTAGACCACACCAGACACCTCCCAGAATATTCCTAGTGTGTACATTTCATATATAAGTCCTACTTTCTAAAAAGAATCATTTAAAAATCAGAAAAACAGTCAAAATCTCACGAGTAAAATTCTGTCCATCTATTTTCATTCCTTAGAAAGGCAAGAGATTGGGAGATTTGTAGATCTTCAGATTGTTACTTATAGCTATTAATACACTGTAACAGTCGTTTTGAGACTTGGGCGGAGTAAAAAAGAAAACCCGAACTAGGAAGACTCAGCTTCTTCAGTAACTATATCAAGATGGGAATGAAGTCTCCTATCGCACTTTCCACCCTCCAACATAGAAGAGCAATATTTTACACATCCCTAACTTCACAAACTATTATGGTGGGATCATTAGAAGTTGACAAACTTATGGAGCATACTTTCATGAGCTATGACTGTTCTCACTATTCAAAAGTTTTTAATATAGACTTGGTTGTGTTCCTTTTACATACCATTTCTCCGTCCTCTGAGAAGATATAGGAAGTCTAGACTTATCCCTGTGTGCTGCTACATTGTTGCAAAGGTTTTCAGGTAATATGATATGTTTTAAACTAACACAATACATTCAATTTGTTTAGAAAATATACATTGCTAAGACCAGCATATTCTCATTTCTTCTGCTAATATTTTCTATTTGTCAAATACTATTACAGCTGAAAATATGTTTGGCTTAGTTGTATTTATTTAACTATCACATAGATTATTCTACATGCCTTTTAAAAACCTAAGACTCATGGGGCATATTTATCCCTTCAGTTATTTGCTGGCTGCATCTTAGGTCCTTGGCCAATCATCTGAAAACCATGGCACTGTCATGATGGCAATTAAGTGAGTGAATATGAATGAACCATCGCTATAAGAAATCAACTCAAAGCTCGCATCTAACTACAGCTCATCTGTGACAGAATCTCTAAACATGAGAAGACACAGGAAACAAACCTCGGTGTTCGTGACACAGACTGCTTTCCACAGATGAGTATGACGTCTTTCTGGACCTCAGCACTCACACTAAAATCAGAGGCAATTGATGGGAGCATCATGAAAATGCTTTCATTCTAGATATGTGGTTCAAGTAACCAGTGTCCCCGTATTGGTGACACAGCTCTACTCTGAAATAGTGTGGAAAACAGCAATAACTGGCATTCTAAGATGTTGTTTGTGTAAGCTCACATACAAAATTACTTTCTAAACAAAAACTTTAGAGTTCCTTAAGATCATACTCATTTAGACTGTGTTCCAAGAGCATGAACTATCCAGAGAACTTTCAGTCTGAATGTGGATGCCGTCGTTTTTGAGATGTGAAGCCTTAGAAAACGTAATTAACACTAGAAAATTCAGCTTATTCTTTTCATTTAATAAAATAGAATACCACTTATCTCCACTCATATCTTACGGTTGATATAAAAATTAATGAGATTACTCACACACATGGGGTTATCTTGGCAAACAAATGGTATGCAATAAAAGAAACATCAGCTAACAACTGCAAGTATTGTATGCCAGCCAATTACACAACTCATAAGAAATAGAAAACACAAAAACTACCTAACTACTCAAGTGCAAATAGAAAATCTCAACAGGCTCATAACAGAGAGATTGAATTAGTAATCAAAACTCACAACAAAGAAATGACTGCACTAGAAAGATTCCCCACACTCTGTCAAACACTGAGCAAAGACATACACCAACCCTTCACACACTCTTCTAGAAAATAGGAGAGAGAAGTTTCTCCTCTATTCTATGGGGCCTCAGATACATTAATGACAGATAAGAGTGTCATAGGAAAAGAAAACTGAAAATCAATATCCTTTATGAATGTAAATACAATCTCTTTAAGAAAACAAGCAAATTCCATCTAACAGAATATTGAAAGCAGTATTTGTCATAACACGTAGGCTTTATCCAAGAAAGTATAAGGTAGTTTCATCTAAGCCAATCAGTGAAATGCATAACAATAATAGAACAAGGGTGGGGGGGGTGAGGAGTCCTGCATGATCATCTCAAAATTATACAGAAAATAATATTCAATCTTTCTATTATAACTCCTAGAACTACAAGAAAAAAAACTTAGAACAACCAAGGCTTTATCCCAGCTAACACTTTATCAATGGCAAACCTACAAGCTTTGCCTCTAACGTCAGGAACAAGAAACTCACCACTGTTTTGAAAGCTCCATCTCATACTACTACATATGAAGAATATGGAAAAATATCCAAACTGGTAAGAAAAGTGGGGAAAAATCTATTTTATACACACACACACACACACAAAGAGAGAGAGAGAGAGAGAGAGAGAGAGAGAGAGAGAGAGAGAGAGAGAGACACAGAGACACAGAGACACAGACAGAGAGACAGACAAAGAGACAGAGACAGAGAGAGACATACATATTAGGATTATGACACAAAAGCTCAGTTTAGTTATTTGTGCCAGGAATAAATATAAATAAACCAAAAGGAAATAAAGAAAGTCCATTTAAAATACCACCTAAAAGAATTTAACACCTGGGTATAAATCTAACCAAAGAGATGGAAACAGTTACACCCTGGAACTATAAAACACTGTTGAAGTAAATAATCAAAGCATAAAATTGCCTAAGTGTCCACCAACTTAAAAAATGGAAAAAATGTAAAATACACACAATGGAACACTATTTCACCAAGTGTGTCACCTGTGATGACATGCATGAAACTGGCTGACATTGTGTTAAGTGAAAAAAAAAAAAAAACAAGGCACAGAAGGACAAGTATGGCCTGCACCTTTCATATGTACAAATCTAAAGTCAGTTGATCTGATAGAAATTGAAGGTAGAATAGCAGTTGTCAGAGGTTCAGGGAAACTTGAAGGGGAGAAGGCATGAGGACTGTCTGATCAATAGGTACTCAGATACAGTTAGGAGAAATGACAGCTGGCGACACACTTCACTGTATGATAATTACAGGTCATGATAATGGGGTGTTATATGTTTCAGAAAGGAAGGAAGGATTTTAAGTGTCTTGGCATTTAAGAAAAATTACAAACAGTAGAGAAGACTGGCTGGCTTTCTTTACCTGTGTAGTGTATAATCCATCCATGGATCAAAACACATTGTGAGGGACAACTTGCATACATACAATCTTCATTTGTTAGTGGATATTTTTTAAATCAATAAGAAGTAAAGACAGAAATGCACAGAAAGAAGTATCTGTATTGACAAGAAGAAAACATTATTAAGATGTCAATACTATTCAGATAAATATACATATTCAAGTGAATCCCTGTTAATCCATTTTACAAAGTGGAGAAAACAATTCTTAGGCTCATATGGAACTACAAGGGTCCCTCAAAACTGCAATGATCTCCCAAAAGGTGAGTAAAGCAGAAGGTTAGCACCTCAACATTTACTACACCCCAACAGTTGCTAACACAGCGTGGCACTGACATAGAGAGAGGCTAGCTGGCACAGTAGAATGGACAGCTCAGGGATAATCCCTCACACATGCATTTGATTTGTTTTTTGAGGAGGTGCCACAACTATTAAAAGGAAGAGGGCGGTCTTTCAACAAATGGTGTGAGAAAAACTGGATGCCCACTGGCAGAAGATATAGACATCCAATTTGTATATCTTGTGTATGCCTTTCTCTCACATGGCAGTAGTACAGCAAGCTCTAGGTACTTGCATGGAATAAGGAGTATCCGTAGGTCCAGGTACAAGCACCACATCCTGCTCTTAGAATATCTGAGGAAAATCAAAGGTGCTGGTCATACATGATGGTTTTTAACTTCTCAACTATATGTGACAGTGCTCAACTGCCTAATGCAAAGGAAAATAGATATGATTTTGTTTTTCAGGCAAGCCAGCCTTGTTCTGATGTACACACTGGTAACTGTGGAAGAGGCTTCCTGCTTTGATTTCAAGCATCCAAGAGCAAGTGTGTTTACTGCCTCCCTGAACACTGTATCTCAGTCTCACAATGTGAGCCAGCAGGACAGCTAATATCTGGGGCTTATGTTCAGGGTCCCAGTGGATCCATATCTAGAAAGATGTCTTTAATGATAGGACTAATAGAAGAATAAAGATGGAGGGATCAGAAGTTAGTAAAGCTACTTCTAGAGAAGCTCGTCTAATAGATGCTGCCTGCAGTCCTGCACTGTATCCTGGCAGTGTGCCTTCTCAGCTACTTAGAGTGGGAGAGCTCCTGTGGTGTGCACCATAGCTGGCATGCTCCGACTTTCAGAGATACAGGTCAGATCACCTGGAGGACAATGATGACTCAGAGCCCTGAATATGTTTGCGACACTACTCTAACTTAGGTTCCAAAATAGCCAACTTCAACAAGCAGTGAGTGCCACCCAACAATGGTCCTTCCTTCTGGCAGTCAGGACAGTTGTTCAACTAGTTAAATTAGTTTACTCGGCCCACAAACACCAAAATATGGCTGTTCTTGAAAAAATGGAAGGAAGCAAAAAAAAAAAAAAGGATTTTATGTTCTATTTTGTAAAGACCAGAGAGGTACATGTTTCTCTTCTCACTTAGGGGGCCCAGGTATAAAAGTGTGCCATTTCAGGCCAGTGTATCTCCCTTCAAATATAGTAGTTGCTCATGTACATTTCAAGTGAAGTGACCATGATTTAGTTTGGAGCAAAGTGTTTGCTTGTATGGACTCAGTCCAATACTGTTCCCCCAACTCCTGTGATGATAAAAGGCTGCACTGTTTAGTTGCATAAATCTAAAAGTTCTCTATTCATAGCTTAAATGTGTATACTTTTAATCCATGCCAACATAAGTTTTATCTATAATAAAGCTTAGATTAGCCAAAGTACTAAAGGATTTAAAATTTACATTATTTTGGTATATAAATTTGGGGTTAATAGAAAATACTTGGCAAGAACAGCTTGCCTGTAGTTGAGAATCTTCCTACAAATCCATCCCCACTGAGCTGCTCTCAACAAGTTTAGCTAGCCTAACCAAACACAGCTTTGCTATCCAAGGACACAATTCTGAAAGTCACTAGATCCTGCGCAAAGTTGTTCCTGTCCATACCTGCTCACCTACATGGTACAATCTCATCAATACCTTTGGGAGAGAAACAACTTTAATTCACTGAACACATAACAATATCTACTCCCATGAGGAATGACGTCATTGCTGTAATAAAATTAAGCAACATAATGATAAGAAAACTACAGTAGCAAAAAACAAGGACCATGTGTGACATTGAGCTGGGGAGAGTCTTAGTGGTAAGAATACTAAACCAACAGATAACATCTGTGTATAGTTTACTGAAAGGTTCCCAAGACTGGGTCAGATGAATGAGGAATATTACTGAATGCTGGTGTCAGCTCAGAACCAAGATGAAACAGTTAGCTTAGTTTAAATCAATGTTCAAAGTGGAGCTTCCATAAAGAACGAGGTCAGAGTGAGGACACTGATGAGCACATGTTCTCTTACACTGATCTCAGCGACCAACTCTATAGAGAGGGGTGACTTCCAGAAACCTCACAGGAATACAAATCCAGGACCCGTAGTCTAAAATGTGGAAACCAGTACTACCTCAGATTTTAGACTATTTGCATAGATTTACCAATGAAGAAAAAATGATATAAAATGTTTTAAAAGCCAGAACTTTTCAATGTCATTATGATACCCACTACTTGCAATTTCAGAGTACTTTCTTTCTTTTTTAAAACCAGAATGCACACCCTTGACTTATTTGTGTCTGAAGACTTTTTAATCAGGCCTTAGAGGGACCCATCCTTAGAACCAGTATCCCTTAGATCATCTGAGTCTCCCCCAGATTCCTTCTCTCACAGGAAATTGAGTTCCCTACCAAACACAGAGAGGCATCTATGGTCAGAAGCAGTTACAACTCTAAGTTTGCTTCTGGGCTCTTTTATCAGTTTCCTTAGAATCTCAGTGAGGTGGTTTATATCCGTGGCTTAAGCATATTAAAATGCCTTTGTTCATGTTCTAAGGCACATATACAAAGAAACTGCTGCCCTCAGATTGGCTGTACCCTGACTAGGTGGTTCATATAATCAGGCTAATATGTTAAAAAGAACTTGACACAGGAATCATTAATGAGCAGAACAAGGTCACTACCTCTGAGCTGGGGTCACTTACAAAGAACACACAAATGAAATCGAGGTTGGCTTCTGTGTACTTGGCTATTTTCTTACATTGGATTCCTTTGGCAACCTATCTTTAAACATTTAAAGCCATGTTTACAAGGAGGCTCTGAAAGAGCTTCAAACCATTATGCCCCTAATTGAATTCCCCAGGAGTCCAGTAAACTCAGAGGAAAAAAGAAAAATCATAACATTTGCTAAACCATCTCAAAGCACATTTCACTACAAGGTTATATGACCTGCTTTTTTTTTTTTTTTTTTTTTTAGTTCAAGGATGAATGAAAAATATGTATTCATTATTTAGACCAAAATAAAATAGAACTTCACCAATTACTGGTGAAATAATTAAATCAGCAGTTTTAACTTTTTCCCAAAAGAAAATTTCCAAAACAAAACTCTGAAAACAAAAGCCAACACAATCCAACAGCACCATTTTCTACTGTATGTGAACAGTTTCCCAGTGCAAAAGCGCAAGGTAGGACTTCAGATGTGAGTTCGAAACAAACTCTAATGAGAGAAGAGAGAATTAAAAGTTCTAGAGACCCGTTAGTTATGACAATGGCCCCAGGTCTGGTTTTACTTTGAAATAGGCTTTTACGGTGTTTTTATCCATAGCTCCCTTGTCTGTGTCTGTGTTTATTGTGACTACTAGGAAAAACATGTGGGCCCGAGCATTTCCAAAACTGTACCGCGGCTCTCCACTTACCTGGCTTGTATGTTATTCCAGGGGGGAAGAGGAATCCCTGTTGGGCGGCAGCAGCTGCTGCCAAGGTCCGCTGGTCATGTGGAAAAATTGGGATCATGAGCGGAGGCATGTGCCCCTGAACCTGCTAAACAGAAGAGAGCCTGTGATCAGACAGGGAGCAGATGTTACCAAGAAACATTTGTCTTCCACTGTTGGAGCTGCTCTGGTGCCCACACGGCCGCCCACCTCAACTCGCTTTCCAGTGAGAATACTCAGGTAAACTCCACCTAACTAGCCTCCTTAGATGCCGTGAGCACGGCGTGCCACGGTCTCACCAGAGCCTGACCACATCCCTGCTTTCACCTCAACGTGGTCAGTGACCTTCTTCTCTCTTGACTTGTTTTTCTTGCCTTCTTTCTTGAAAGAAAGAACAAGAAAACTAAATGCTTTGCTTTTCTCTCACCCTGTGGGTGAGAGGTTCTGCCCTTTCCCCTGCACAGCATTCTAAGCTTCATTGTGAAAACAGTATTTAGTATCGTTGGCCAGAAAGTAATGTCTAATTGTTATATATTCCAGAAGCTGTGTGTCTCCCTCATGGAGGAGCTTCTTCTGAAGCCTCGCTGCATTATATTAAACACATAGCGCTTCAGATTTAAGGCTACTATATCTTGGCGCCCAATTAAACTAATATCCTTTGCCATACACACCTCGATGTAACATATAAATTGCTTGTCAGCTTTATGCACTGCCATGTAGCTCAGTAATTATGGAGTTGTATCCACTGAGCAACTCATAATAAATCCTACTATATCAGATTTCATTTGACCTCAATAAATGTATCAAAGACCACAAAAATGCAAAAGAGAAAAATATTCACTCTACATCAGTATTTGTACTCCATATAAAGGAAATCAGAGCTATGACAGAATCATGCTCCTGAAGATCACATTTTAATTTCCTACCTCCCTTCTTTACTCTAGCAAGCTGCCCTGGTTCCAGCATTAGCAGTCAGGGAGGCTTTGTCCTGGCTTTTAAGACATGGAAATGGGCTGAGCTATGGGACTTTCCTCATTTATAGATTAGAACAGAGATGTGTCAGAAGGCACAGTCTTCTGGTTTAGACAGATCTGTGACTTTTGGTGGCACAAAATAACAATACTATACACTTAACTAAACATTAAAATATAAATGTTTTCCAGCAACTTTACAAACTCCAAATGCTTCCTCTGTCTAAATTCCTAAATCTCTTCTGTAGACATAATTCCATACACGAGCTGATGCCCCGTCTAAACGGCACCAGCTTACTTTCTCCTGGCCCTGGCCCTTCACAGCCATGGACATTGTGCAAACGCTTCTGTGTGGGTCTGAGAGGTTTCATTTGCCAACAGTCTTTCTCGGGGGAATGCCCTAAGATGTGGGTTAATAAAGGGCAAGCAAAAAATAAACACTTTACAGTATTTTTCTGAATTCATTTCTCAGGAAAATCAACTTATAATAAAAAGGTCTTTGTGCAATTACTACCTTGCCAGTGGGGCGTGAAAGAAACTAGCTTTGAACAGCTATTTCTTCTATTTTAGCTGAGGTAAGCCCAAGCTTTGTACATGGGAGAACAAACTTGCCTGGGTATACTGGAGCTGAGCCTCTAGTGCTGTGCCTCCTCACCTTTAGCCTGGGGAAAAAGTACCAGGTTTGCTGTTCGACCCCAGTTTGCTGTGACCCTGTCTAAATGTGAGATGTTCAACATGAAAGTGGCAAGTTCCATACCAGAAAACAAAACACAATGTCTTTATGAGTGACCACTGTTCCTCAAAGGACAACTTTCATGACCCTACAGAAATGTGATCCTAGCATGAGCCTAGAGCACCATATAAATGCCTTACCTTAAAGAGGAGGCAACAGAAGAGTGAGGAATCTACATGTTGTTTATTCTCTCTCTCTCTCTCTCTCTCTCTCTCTCTCTCTCTCTCTCTCTCTCTCTCTCTCCCTCCCCCCCTCCCCCCCTCCCTCCCTCCCTCTCTCTCTCTTTCCCCCCTCCCTCTCTCTCTCTCTCTCTCTCTTTGTGTGTGTGTGTGTGTGTGAACATACATATATAAAACATATGGAGCCATTCCAACTTTGTGATTCTATGATTACCAAAAAGTGAGCATTGTGAAGACAGTGTTGACAGAGAGCCATAAATAGGATGTCTACATCATCCTGCCTCAGTAAGCTCAGGAACCATCACAGAAGAGACAGCAGGAAGATTCTAAGATGTAGAGGTCAAGAGAGGATGGGAAAAAACAGTATCTTCAGGATGTGACAGGATCACTGTACTCATGAACTCACAACTGCTGCATAAGATGAAGCCAGTTAACATTCTAGCATGGAAGGGGAGGGAGTTCATGAGCCTCCACCTCTAACTAAGGAGCTATGGACAGCTGATGGCTTCTGAGGTACAGATTTTTTTAAGAATGTGACCACCGTCTGGAAATTGACCATACTCTGCTTGATGGTCCCACAGTCAGGAGAATATGGGCATTAAAACTGTATTAGATGAGTCTTTAAAAAGTGATGGAATGGATGGAGGCTGGAGAGATGGCTCAGCAGCTAAGAACACTCGATGCTCTTGTGGAGAACACAAGTTAGTTCCTAGCACCCACATTATGGCTTACAACAATGATCTGTTTCTACAGTTCCAGGGGGACCTGATGCCCTCTTCTAGCCTTAATGGGCACCAGGCATGCATGCAGTACACATACATATATATTCAGGCAAAATGTTCATATAGATAAAATAAAGGTAAATTAATTATCTTTTTAAAAAGGAAAAGAAGACATGAAGAGAATGTAGAGAGGCAGGGATAGAAGAGAGCAAGTGTGAACAGGATAAAAACTCTCTGTATTGGAAGAATTAACAAAAACACTTTTAAAAGAACATAGTATGACTGTAGTAATTCCTTTCATGTATTTACTGAGAAGTGACAGAGTCTCTGTTAGTGAACAAGTCCAAGTCCAAGTCTCTGTTGCCTGCACTTCCTGAGCCGTGTGCTCTTCAAAAACTTAACTCTCCTGATTCTGACCCTGCCTGTCAACACTTGAAAACACTGACTAGGCATCATGCAGTCACTGTGAGGATGGGAGAACCAAGACCAAGCCTGACCACATGCTCTAATTTAACAGTTGTATTATATTGTAGTCAACATTAGCTCTTTGTTTTGTTTTTGTTTTTTGTTTTCTGTATGTTTGGTAACAGAAAAATATCAAATTATGGCTAAGTAGAAGACAGTAGATCTTATCCATAGCTCTACTTCAAGAAAAAAACATGAACTAACTGGATCGTTCAGCTGAGACAGTAGATGCTTGTGATGCATTTAGCAGACATTGTGCTTCACCTGTGTGTAGTGACAATTTTGAAATTTTGGTTTCTTTAAAAACCACAGAAATATAAAAATACTTTATTTTATTTTATTTTTTTAATTTCAGGCATGGGATATGGGGCTGCTTCAGATTGTCCACAGCAGCTGTCTATGATTTGTCTTGTGCTTTAGCAGAAGCATGATTTTGCCAGCTGTAGATAGTTTCTGATATTGGGTGATACTTGAAATTATTTTTCAGAGGGTATATACATGCAAGGGACCCAAGGGGCTTGGTGGGTTGTTGTCAGTTGGTGGTTGGCCTGTTGTTGGACATGGTGTGTTAAGTCATGTACCAAGAAGAAACAACAACAAGAAATTAGATAAACTGATGGCTAAGATAAAACTTGCCCCAAGGAATTCAACACCCTTAATGAGCAGAAAGTAGTCTAAGGATAATATCACCCCATTTCCTGACCCTTAGCTTTATTCAGGAATCTCTTTATTCTTTATCCTTTTTCCTTCTCCCCTTTATCTAGTTTTGGGGGATCAGAAAGGTGGGGAAAAAGGATGGAAGAAAGAAGAACCCTCAAGGTAGCAAAGATAAGCTATTCCTGTGTAACCCAGCACCAAGTTCTAGAAAAACATGAAAGGGGAGAAGTGGGATTAATTGCAAGGACAGTCTGGAGATGAGGCATGATGGCTTCTAGTGTCCCTTGTTAATTAGTATCTTAGAATTAAAACAAACTTAATTTTTCATCAGGTAAGCAAATAACACAGGGAGCAGTTGAGTGTGGTTGTCCATCTGAAATTACTCTCTCTCAGCTGGCTTGCTGTTAGGTCTAAGTAAAATGGCTGTGCCTGTTTTCTATTTCTTTATTATGTATATGGTGTGTGTAGTGTGAATGTGTGTGTTCATGGGTGTGAACACATATATGTCTGTGGAGTGCACTTGTAGAGGTCAGAGGACAACCTTAGGTACTGGTTGGTCTTCAATGTTTACCTTGTTTAAGTCTGTCTTTGCTGTTGATCACTGTAAAGGCCAGCCTTGCTGGCCTGCAAGCCACAGAGATGCTCCTGTCTCTGCCTCGCTTCTTCTCCTAGGAGTACTGAATAACAGATGTATGCTACTACACCTGGCTTTACATGAGTTCTGAGAATTTTATTTCAGATTCTCATATTTGCATATCAGATGCTTTATCCACTGAGCCAACTCTCCAGTCCCTGGGGTTGTTTTTGGATGCTAAATAACACAATTGTAAGTGCTTTGTATTAACATCTGCAGTACACGTTTGGGGTCATTCCTTTCTGTCATATTTTACAAGTTAAGATTAGAAAACCAAAACCCTCACTGATAACTACTATGCAGGAGGCGGTTTCAGTCAAGAGGTCAGGATAGAGACAGTGTGAGAGCAGCAGTGCTAATAGAGCCAGGACTGGAGCTCAGAGATCTAGGCTGGCGATTGTCAAAATGTAGGTCTGGCCAACAGCATCAGCAGCAAGTGTCAAGACATAGGTCTGGCCAATAGCATCAGTAGCATTTTCACAGAGCAAATTCTTCAGGTCCATACCATATCTTCTGAGTCAGATGCTCTGAGGTGAAGTCCAATGATCCAAATATTTAAACCAACATTTCAGGGAGAGTGGTGATGCTTTGATGTGTGTCCACACAAACAAATGTTCTTTAAAACGGACAAGGTTCTGCCCTACCCTCATGAATTTGGAATCTGTACTGGAGGTGAAGCTGGAACATGGACATTTCTGAGAAACTCCCAAGAAATGCTGCTACTGTTGGCCAGGGACCATTCCTT